GTGCACATGTGTTTCCAATAAAAGAGTCCGGTTTGAGTCCAAGGTTGGGCCCCCTCACCACTTTGAAAAAGAATCTGCGAAGGCACCATGGGCCAGCGACAAATAGAATAAAAAGGAGAACAGAAGAATTTGAGGAAAGAAAGATTGCAGAAGCAAAGATATCCCTTTGCTTGCTTGCTTGCTTTTGTTCACCCAAAAATGAAAACTTAGTCATGATTTATTCACCCTCTTGTCGTTCCAAACCAGTATGGACTTTCTTCTTTGGAACACAAAAGATGATATTTTAAAGAATGTTGGTAACCAAACAGTTTTGGTGACTATTGACTTCTATTGTATGGACAAAAAGAGACATTTAAAAAAAAAAAAAAAAAGTGTCGTCTTTTGTCTTCCACAGAATTAAGAAAGTCATTTAGCTTTGGACTGACATGAGGGTAAGCAAATGATGACAATTTTAATTTTTGGATGAACCTTTAATACGAAACACCAATTACATTACACTTATGATGTTAGAAGTTGCTTTCAAAAATGTCAATTTGTAGACAATGAACCTTATTAAGACTCTGCCTGCAACAATTTGCAAGTGCTCAAAAGTGGCAACTGTTCAAAGCTGTAGGCCTATCGAGCTCTAGAGGAGTAATTTAACCTCCCAATAGAGGCAGTACCTAACAACTGCTCTCTCTGTTGGTAAGTGTCAGCCTCTTCCCCTCTCAAACTCTCCGTTGCTCAAGGGGCCGCACCAGGGGTGCACATGTAATGGAGCCGAGTCTCTGATCACAGTGCAGAAGAATGCTTGGGGAACATTGTATATACAGTGGAGGAGAGTGTGATTCTCTGCCCTGGCTTTGATGTCTGGGGCTGTAGAGCAGTGCCGGTGCGTTCTCTTTGCAGTGCTATATAAAGAGAATGGGAGATTGTTACTTTCTGCAGGTGAGAGTCTTCATCTGTGAAAATCCTGTGGGGCAGAGTGGTGTCTGTCAGACTAAGACTATATGTCTCCTGCACAAATTTACCAATTCAGACACACCAAAAGAACCATCTGGGGAGGCTTAGAGCTGAACCATTAATAGATTTATATTGACGTCCTAGGCTTTATACAAGAATGAGGAATGTATGCGGTAACAGAATGAAATGTCTTAAAGGGATAGTTCAGACAAAATAAATATTCTGTCATCACTTATTTGCCTTTATGCTGTTCCAAATCCATAGGACTTACTTTCTTCTGTGCAACACAACAAGAGAAATTCTGAAGAATATGCTTGTTGCTCTTTTCCATATGATTAAAACGCATGAGGACTAGAGTTTTCAAACTTCAAAAAGCATTATAAATGTAACATTTCAAGTTTCATTTAAATATTTTCCAAAGCCATTTGATAGGTTTGTGTGACAAACAAATTAAATGGAATGTTGTAAAACCAGATCAGTCTGGTGCGTGAATTAATCATTGAGAATGAATCTGTAAACCGAATCAACTGAAAAGACCTAATTCAAAATGATGACTAAATCAATCATCAACTGTTATGAAGGAGATCTAGGCCGGATTTTAAGATTTTCAGTGAACAACAACTTTTCGTCAATGGCAATTTTAGACTACTTCTTACACAAAGATATCAAATGGCTTCAAAAGACATTGAATATAGTGCACAACTCGTGTATTTTGTCATTTTGAAGCTTGACAGTCCCATTATTCCAACTTTTGCATTCCACAGAAGAAAGCAAGTCATACATGAAGGTGAGTAAACGATGACAGAATTTACATTTATGAGTGACTGAACCTTTAAGAAAGACTCTTTGGGGAATGTGTTTGTGCTGTGTGTGCTTCTCTGGAGCGTACAAATGGAATGAAGAGAAAGGAGAGGGGATAAGGTGGGGAAAAAAATGGTGATGGGTTTGATTTCATGGTCTCAGGAAGAGCAGGGGAGAAGTGAGAAAAGGTGATGCAGAGCAAGCGAGATAGCTCTGCCTCTCCAGTGACTGGTTGTTCTTGTGTAAATGGTCTACCTATCTTGGTCAGGTATTGGGAGCGGAACATGCTCCCTCCCACGTCTGCCAAGCAGCGCCCGAGGCTGAGAGCAGCCTCCGATTGGAGCACCTCATCTCCACATGGGCGCTTTGATGTACGCACACAAGGCAGCCCATGTCATTGCGTTTGAAAGCTCTCGTTTTCCACGACACCGACACACAGGTTGCATTGCTCCTGGCGTTCCAGGTGCTGCCATGTGTTAATCTCAGAGGCCTGGTTTGGCATCAAGCTTCCCTTCTTACGCGAACCGGCTTTGAAGAGCTGTCTGATCAAACCGCTACTTAACAACCCACATATCACTGGGAGCCTTCGTAACTACCGCCGCTTCAAATGGGCACAACTTTAACCGCCCCGACTCTGTTATCTGCGATGGCAGGTGAAGAGCTGGAAGATAGCGCAGACATCCTCGCAAGGACGTTTACAGCAAATCCTGTTAAGCAAAATAAATGTTGGAATGCAGCAGAAAAAGAAAGACTTAAATGAAGAATCATTTCTCTAAGTCCTTTCGGGCTGTATTCGGGTCATAACAAATGCGCTCGGCAACACGAGGAGTCAGACACTAAAGTAATGAAATCACATTTGCTTGCACTGGCAGATTCCCAAATGATTATCCACAGTCTTACCTCATCACACACCAAGGTCTGTATTTCACGGTGATAGATGCACTGCGTGTGAAAGCCTCTGCAGCCTAATGCATCTGTAGATTTGGATGCTGTGCATCATCTGGAGATCATCAGAAAATTCCATGTGTCTATATATTTAGATGATATATATCTAAATAACTCCTGTATTTGAGGTCTTAAAAATGTTGATGTCTGCAGCCGCCTGCAAAAGTACACAGCAGTACTGGACATGTGCTGGAGGAATCAAACTCTGTCTAGTTGGGCCCTGAGGGCAACAAGGCCATCTGAGCAGATTTCATTCTCTGCTGTGACAGCACCCTACCAGACCATCGGGGACTTAAGATTGTTTCTGTTGTTGGCCTTAAACAATATCACACAAATAAAATATCCCACTCAGATGTGAAGCATCATGTCTTGGGAATTCTCGGAAAAACCTTGAAAAAAGGGAAAAGCAATATTTAGACTTTCTGGAAACGCTCGAACCCAAAAATGGCTGCAGTCTAGGCCAGCTAAAGTCAAGGGCTGAAAAGATCTTAAGATAACTGTCTCTCGTTTGGGCTATAAATCAGGGAGATGCATCCAACTTTAAATCTCGCTGTGTCTGATGTAACAAATATAAACCTGTAAAACTGGAGCAAAAATGGATCCAAAAAAGATAAATATACTGCTTGCAGCAAGTTCTTAAAAGTTAAGCTGTGAAAGAATTACTGTGTACAAGTCTCACCGCTGACATTATTCTCACAAAAATGAGATGGTTTTACGGTACACTACTTTTGTACAGGCCTGAGGGCCAGCAATTACCAGAGCTCAAGGTAAAACTGCACCTAAAGTAACAATTTACCCACATATTATCAAACATGCTTCATAATTTACTAATAAAGGCCTATATGTTTATCTAGTTGAGTTTACTGTCTCTACAGACACCCTATAGTGACCAAAAACTATGAGATATCTTAGTTATATCTTATTAACTGTGCAAAATCTCAGAAGTCAGTGTAAACACTTGTAGCTAACAAATGTATAATATGTTAAAATAAATAAATTAAATAATAATAAAGTTACAAGCTCTTGGTGCATAAAGAAGAACTGTAAAGTTGCAAAGACTAAAGTCTCAAATCCAAAGAGATATTCTTTATAAAAGTTAAGAGTCAGCCACGCCTCCTAAAACGGCTCGTTCTAACACGCCCCCACATGTCTACGTCACTATGTGGAAATATTAGCATAATGCCGCCCAAATGTGCACGCAAAGAAAGAAGGCGTGGTTTCAGGAACAGCAGTAGTGTTGATGCAGCCATGTCAGGGAGACGCTGTGTTTCAGTGCGAAAGCAAAAGCACTTTATTTGGCCTTCCGGAAGTAGATGCAATTAGGAATCATTGGTTAAGATTTATTTACAACAGAACAGCACAACCCAGATGTTCGAATTTGTGCAACGCATTTTATGGACGACAGTTTTTTGAACCTAGAAGAGTAAAAGGCTGGCTGTGCACAAACGCTATTTCTAAAAATAAAAAAAAGGGGTCAATTCCGACTTTGCTATGACAATCTGGCACTTCTGAATCAGCGACTGTAAGTATGTTTTGTTATTAGTTTAAGTATTTGCTATATAATAATAATAATAATAAATTACCATTGAATTATAACCCTACAGAAAACACTTCAAAACTTGACAAACAGAAATATAAACATCAACATAAACATCAACATAAAAATCTACCAAGGAATTAGATTGCAATTAGCTACAAATTTAACACAGGGACAATCAATCAAGCAATCAATAAAACAAAACTCATATGTTTTATTGTTATTATATTTTATGCATTATTTTAAGATAAAACATTTTTATTTTATTTTATAGGTACACCCGTAATCATTCAGGATTAGGAATTCTTCTTAATTCTTGAATTATTATAAGTGTACATGGGACCTTTTTATATGGTTAGTAAAAATATATAGGTTAATCATTAAATATCAGTAAATATCAATCTGTATAAAGATGTTCATTGATGACATATATCGCAAACAGACAATCATCTGACATCTTGACCTTTAGAACTCTGCCGAGGAACTCTGCAAATGCACTAAACTTCTTTAACTAAATATGTTAGCATTTTTTTTTTAATCTTTGTGGTTTTACAGACATCCTAGTTGAGCACTTTAGACCACAGAGGATGTACAAAACCACCTGTCCATCTGAGGGAGCTGTGTATCATGCATTTGGCAGACATTTTTATCCAAAGAAACTTATATTGCACTTAAGCTATACATTTTATCCATTCCTGCATTCTCTAGAAATTCATGACCTTGTCATTGCTAGTGCTGCATGCATTTAATACTGGCTACAGCTTTGAGTACCAACCTGTGCAACTTTTACAGAGTTCTGAGTGGCACCTCCAGCGTGATATTCAACCTTGAATTTCTTGACTATCTCTTCAAACCTAAAGTACAAAACAGAAAGAGAGAAATGAAAAAAAAAAAAAAAAAAATTACACAAGACAAGGAGAAAAAAAAAAAAACTTTATGCATCCACACAGAATTCACAGAATTAAGTGAGACTTTTGATGACACTGCTAAGAGAGAGAGAGAGAGAGAGAGAGAGAGAGAGAATGAAAAAAGGATTGCATTAAAAAAAAAGCTTTATGCATGCACACAGAATTAAAAGCAATAGATATATATGGTGAGACTTTTGATGACACTGAAACAAGGGTGTTTTATTTTTAACACAGGCCTTGTCCAGAGTACAATCACAAGATCACCCAGTGGAGATGCATCAAGAACAGGAAACCTCAGACACTGTAAACAGGAAATAGAGGAATTGAAGCCTTGTGCCGCAGGGCAGTGAGCCTTCTGAGAAAGTGTGCGTGTACTGTACTTCTGCACGCTTCTCTCAGCGTGTAGAGACGTGCACACAAACACACACAAAAGACCTACACAAAGGCAACAAACGACCTGCCCCATGTCTGGACATTATTACAGAGAAAAGCATCCACCACAAACCTGTATGTGCAACAGATTTGAACAGCATGCAAATAGTCCGAGTCACTGAAGGACGTGACCTCCCATGGCCTCTGCAGTCCAAACACAAGCATCAAAACCACACACACACACCGAGTTCCTCCACACAACACCGGTGTCTGAAGCTGATATCTGCTAACAGCTAACGCTCACGTGCGCATGTAAACAAAAGATGAAGTGTATGAAGAATATTTATCCAGTATTCAAGAACCATCTGACATGATGACAAACTATGTTACACTGATATTAAACAATATTTTCATGCAGTGAATTCAGGGGCAGCTGTTGCTAAGGGAAGTAGGACTCTGAACTGAACATTTTGATAAAAAAATTAAAATCCAGGTGAATTTGTAAAAAATGCTGACAGATTTCAAATGCATTCCAGAGGCGATACCTACACTAACATGCTGCCACATACATTAATATATGTGGCCTTTTAAAAGCAAATTCGGTAACACTTTAGTATAGGTTCCAATTCTCACTATTAACTAGTTGGTTATTAGCATGCCTATTACTAACATATTGGCTGTTTATTAATACTTATAAAGCATATATTCTGCATTACCATATTCTACATCCCTAATCCTACCAATACCTAAACTTAAAGGGGTCATATGATGCTGCTAAAAAGAACATTATTTTGTATATTTGGTGTAATGAAATCCTTGTTAATGGCTACAATTGGACCTTAAAATAAAGTGTGACCGTAAATTCTAGTATTTTAGATACTATGGAGTTAAAAAGTGCAATATAGAAAAATTGTTTCACCAACAATAAAAATTAAAGAAATAAACTGATTTGGCACATTAACAATAAAAACTATTAAAAAGGGCTTATCAAATGCGTGTTCATACTAAATGAAAGTTGTGTTTGTGTGCATGCTTAATAACTAGTTTAACATTTCCTTGAGTGCAGTGGTCTTGTGGGTGGTTGCCAAAGCATTGCTATGTGGTTGCTACGGTGTTTTGGGTGGTCGCTTAGAGAGTCAAACAAAGCTGGTCACAAAGTCTCTACTATATTCAGACAGTAGATATATGGTGAGATATGGAATTTTTAACCGTTTATTGGCTGGGACATTCTGTTTAGGTTAAAAAAATGAAAGTCAAACTGGCTAGATAAGTAATACGGTAGCACATCTTTCCTCAACGACTCACAATTTGAGGTATCATTCATTTTTGTACAATAACAGACTTCAGTAACTTTCTTACTTAAAGTAGCGACATATCTTTTCTTCCATATTGTGACGCACAAAGTGTAAAGGCCCGTTCACACCAAGGACGATAATTATAAAGATAACGATAAAGATATAGTTCTAAAAATCGTTCTCAATATTAAAGAATAGCAGAGTCCACACCACAACTATAACGATAAAAATCGTTGTAATCACTTTCAAAATGATTTTTCTCCAGCTGATCAACAATAAAAAAAATTGACAGCCAATCAGAATCCATCCTGCTGTAACGAGCTCAAGAATTTAAAGCGGCAGACGCACGTGCCCTTAGAATAAACAGACGATATCGTTCGCTGGTGTGGACGCTAATATCGTTATCTTTATAGTTATATCTTTATAGTTATCGTTCTTGGTGTGAATGGGGCTTAACAAAGAAGAAAAATGTAGGACGAGGACTTCAATTAAATTCATGGGTTGTTGATTGGACTTTGAGACGTGGCCAATGCAATCAAAAGTGAATGTCCTGCATTCATCACCAGAGAGTAGTCAGAAATTTCCACCTGAAGAGTAATGACAAACTTCATGAGGTCGAACATTCTTAGCAATGAAACATACATGGATGAATGGTTCAAAATGAGATCTTGCAAAAAAGATTGGGTAAAACTAACCCAATACTTAAAGCTGGCCAATAATGATCAGTAATAAGTATTTTTATCTGGCTGGAATCACTATCATTAACAAGGTCTAGTTGTTGTTTTCACACATACTAGGCAAGATGGGTAACCTTAACTAGGTGTGGTTCTCAATTACACAATTCGTGTTCCCATGAACTCAGAGCAAAGCGATGACGGCACTGATGTACCGAGCCCACAGAGACACAAGCGCACAAAAGCAGCGCTGCACAGTGCCTCATGAAAAGCTTATCATGTTCCATTAGAAGAGAGTGGCCTTCGGGCACTGAATGGGCCACCCCTGGCTCCCAGCACTTCCTCTGGGAGGAGGGTCAGCTCTCCCACGGATCTGTCACTCCTCTTGTGGCACTGTCAGAGGGGAAAAGCCCATCAAGCAACACTTCATATCCAGCCAAGGAGCAGGAAGAAGCAGCAGGGGGCCGGCTTCAGCGAGGAGGGATCTCACATAACTACACATTTTAGTACTTCCTTTAGCAACAGGAGCTCTGCACGCTTGGCAACAAAAGGCTCAGGCTGGAGATGGCTGGCATGTTGAGGCTCTTCAAGATGCTGGCCGACAACAAATGCACTGGTTTCTCACTCCAGCTCGTCTTCTGCCTTTTGAAGCTTTTGTAAACAGTGGAGTGACACCTCCTGAGAGCATAATCACGTGCGTCTTCCTCGTGTGTGCCTGTGAGAGATGCCTCTTAAAGGGACCGCTCACCTAAAAATGAAAATTGTCTTAATCACCTTCATACCATTGTTTTTTTACTGACTTGAAACAGAAAGTCCAAGCTGATCTTTTCTATAACATTCAAGAGCCAAAAGCATAATAAAAGTCATCAATACAACTGCATAAGATTTGTATAGTACACAATAGGTTTGTTTGAATAACAGACGGTCATTATAAGTCAAAGAAAATTTTTACCATTGCAAAGCTCTAAAACGTACAACCACTTTATTTCATTAATTTATTTATTTGGTTGTTTTATGCCAAGCAAGCACCTATTGCTGTTTATTATGGAAAGAATAGAGTAAAATGTCCTTAATGTATCAAAATATTTAAATTAAACTACTGGACATATTTAAAAGGAGATTGAGATACACAAAGATAAAATCTATGTAAAGATTTTAGGTGCACACAAAGATTTTTATGATAAAGTTTTTTTTTTGTTGTTGTTGTTGACACTTTAAATCTACACTACCATTCAAAAGGTTGGGGTCAATAAGATTTTATAAAGACATTAATACTTAGGATGTATTAAATTGAACAAAATAGACAATAAAGACATTTACAAAGTTACCAAAGATTTCTATTTCAAATAAATGTTGTTTTGAACTTTCCATTCTTTAAAGAATCCTGAAAAAAAATCAGTTTCCACAAAACTATTAAGCAACATAATTGTTTTCAACATTGATAATTATAATAAATGTTTAATGAGCAGCAAAATCATATATTATATAGCATATTAGAATGATTTCTGAAGGATCATATGACAATGGAAACTGGAGTAATGGCTGCTGAAAATTCAGCTTTGCCATCACTGAAATAAATTAGTTTTTAAAATATATTTACATAGTAAACAGTTATTTAAATTGCAATATTATTTACAATTTACAATATTTCACGATATTATGGTTTTACAGTATTTCTGATCAAATAAATGCTGCCTTGGAGAGCATGATAGACTTCTTTCAAAAATCAAATCACCAATCTCCAAACTTTTTTTTTTTTTTAACTTTACCACTTTACCACAAAAGTTGTTTGGACTACAAAAATAGTGCTTGGTGACATCATGATGCAGATCACTGTAGGTTCTTGCATGTCTTATTTTAAAATATTATTATGTCAGCGTACCTCACAGACAGTTAACTTGCAAAATTCAAATATGAAGCAAGATGTGTCCCACTTTTCTAATATTATAAGTCACCATCCACTTTCATTGTAATGAAAAGAGACTCTTTTCCATGAAACATCTCATTTTGTGTTTCATGGAAAAAAGATGATACATGTCTGTAATGAACTATCCCTTTAAGCCTTTGGTGCATCAAAAATAGTGGAAAAAACTAATAAAATGTTAAGCATTCGACAGAAGAGAACCAAATGGAGATTTCTGTCTCACACTGCAAACACAGTTCACTGAAGTTTACTTAACCATGCTGTCCGTTTACAAACATCATGGTATCAGGTAGTAACAATTAAAGCGTTTTTCCAACATTCCCGTGCAGCCTGGGTCAGGGCTGAGTGCAGAGGCCGTCAGCGCCCCCTGTCTGGAGCACGGGACCCTGAACTCTTCATAGCGTGGGAACAATATACACACTTCCTCGGCCTACAGAAAAAAAATACTAACCATTCTGACCACAGTGCGTGGGACTGAGCTAAGCAAGTCAAACCACGAGCATACGCACACACAAACACATTACCCTTTACACACAAGAAAAAAACTCTTGCACTTTGTGCTTCACTGGAGAACACATCTTACTTCTGGCCTGAAATAGGTCAGGAGAAGAACAGGAGAAGAACTCTGGACGGGAGATTTGACACAGCGCCTCAGTGTAGGGTTACAGAGCGCCCCACACACACACACACACACACTTGCCCCCTCAGAGAAAAACTGAACACACATGCACTCAGAAACTCACAATAAGAATAATAAAAGAGGTAAGGAACATACATGTGAGCATTATTGATTGAAAATGGCGCTATTCAGAACTGTTTACTACCTCAGCAAAGAAAAAAAAAAGCAGTCTACCTCACAGCAAGAGGCAGCAGCACCGATGCTCAATATTGACGGCGGTTTTATTTACTGTATAGTAGCTTGACTGGAAGCAGCTGATGTGGCTACATAGGCAATTCACACAAACAAACAGTGAGCCTGCGGGGAGAGGCAGGGACTGTTCATCAATGGCCACAGGCAAACACTGCTCTACACACAGCCTTGTGTCTAGGCACTCCACGAACAACATCAAAGCAGCACTCCAGTCAGATTGTGGAAAACACAATCAATTGTGAGAAGCCTCTTATTTCAGAAATGTAAATTGGGCGGCTGTAGAGTGGTGGCAAAGGGAGTAAGTGGTACAGTGGGAGGTGGTGTGAATGAACGGACGGAAACGGGTTTGAACTTAGACGTAGTTGTTGCACCTAGGGGAGAATGTTACATTAAAAGTAACTGAATATATCCGGTACCTTGCCTTACTTAGACAATTCTGTGGTACTTTTAAAGTGTCAACAGAAACCCTTTTTTTATTATTTGTATGTTAAGCCTAAAAAAGTCCTCTATGGACAAACTGATGATAGAAATGCCATTAGCTAGTCTTTTTTTTTTTTTTTAACAAACATTTAACACACATTTTATTATACATCATATATGTGACCCTGGTCCACAAAACCAGTCATAAGGGTCAATTTTTTTAAATAGAGATTTATATGTCACATGAAAGCTGAATACATACGCTTTCCATTGATATATGGTTTGTTAGAATAGGACAATATTTGGCCGAGATACAACTATTTGAATATCTGGAATCTGAGGGTGCAAAAAAAATCTAAATACTGAGAAAATTTCCTTTAAAGTTGTCCAAAGGAAGTTCTTAGCAATGCATATTACTAATAAAAAATTAAGAACAAAATATCTTCATGGAACATGATCTTTACGTAACATCCTAATGATTTTTGGCATAAAAGAAAAATCGATTATTTTGACCCATACACTGTATTGTTGGCTATTGCTACAAATATACCCAAGCGACTTAAGACTGGTTTTGTGGTGCAGGGTCACATATAGGCTATATTGACTTTATAATTTAAAAAAAATAAATAAATAAATAAATGTACAAGTTGTTAGCACTTTTTTGGTGAGAGGGACACCTCAGCCGATGAGAGCAGAGAGGCAGTGGCTCTAGCCATCGAGCCACCCCCTGTGCACGGCCCTGTTGAATTAACATTTGTGATATGCTTTTTATCTAAAATCAAAACAATTTTATATCAACCACTTTAAAAGCTGAATTTAGTGCTGTTTTGGCATCACATCATTATAATGTACAGAATGAAAATGACTGTTAAT